TACTGATTTGAGTCCCAGTTTCCTTCCCTTCACTGTCGGTTCCCTGTATATCTTTCTTTACCTCATTTTGCATAGCCTTCACTTTTTTCTTTATTTTGCAACCATACTCAACCATTTCTGTGAGCATCCTGATTACCAGTGTTTTGAATTGTGCATCTGATAGGTTGGCTATCTCTTCATCACTTAGTTGTATTTTTTCTGGAGTTTTAATCTGTTGTTTCATTTGGGCCATATTTCTTTGTCTCAGCATTCCTGTTACTTGTAAGGGGCAGAGCCTTAGGCATTCACCAGGGCGGGGCAACCCACTTTGATGTGTTGTGGTGTTTTATGTGGGGGAAGGGTCAGAGAGGGAACAATGCCACTTGCTTGGCTCTTGGCTGGCTTATCTTTAATCATGGGTAATGTAATTATGGTATCTCCCTTACCACCCACATACAAATTGGGCCACTGTGGTTCTGATCCCCAGGTGGGTGGGTTTGTGTATGTTTTAGGACCCTGTGGGTCTCTCCAACAAACTCTCCTGTGAGGCTGGGAGTTTCTCCTGCCTCTGCAACCCCCACAGGTTTTTACAACCAGAGGTTTTGAGGCTTTCTTTTCCCATGCTGGAACCCTGGGTTGCATGGTTTGTCTTGCTCCCCTGTTGTTCCTCCTGGTTTATCTGCATGCAAACATAAGACCACCTGGTTCTCCAGCCACCACCTTGCTGGGTCCTCCAGCTGCTGCCTTACTGCTCATCCTCTCTGCCCAGGCTGCTCACCTCCACCCCTCCTACCAGTCTGGATGAATGTTTCTCCTTTAACTTGTTACCAGACTTCCATGCAGTTCAATTTTGTGGCTCTTTTGGTTGTTCTTGTTTTTAAATTTGTTGTCCTTTTGGCTGTGTGAGTCAGCAAAGTGTATCTACGTACGCTTCTATCTTGGCTGGCAAAAGTAAAATTTGAAACAAAAAAAAAGAAAGGCCAGGAGGAAAGCAAATTGGAGTAGGAGAGGGGAAGAGTAAAATTTGGAATTTGAAATACAAAAATAGTGAAGATCTAGGAATAAAATTGAAGAAATGCAATAATAGCCACCACGTCAACAACCAACAAGTGAAGATTCATAAAGGTGGAGAGAAAATAGGGTATTTAAAGGATAGGAAAAAGAATGTCTAGTCATTGTCTAGAGATGACTAATGACAAGAAAAATGGTTTTGAGAGGCTGTAGAGGGGAGAAATAGTAAGAATAGAATAGAAACAAGTAGCTGGAGGAAAAAATAAACTTAAAAGAAAAAAATAAGAGGAAGAAGATAAAATGGAGTAAGAAAAGGGAAGAGCAAAATGTGAAATTTAAAATAAGCTAAAATAAAAAAACTAGTGAAATAATAGGCAGAAACTTGAAGGAAAAGAAATGAATGTTAAAAAGCTATTCAGGAGAAGAAATAACGCAAATAATGAAGAAGAACATGGTACAGTTTGTCTTTGTAGAGTCCAGGGTTTACCCGTCTTCTCTTTCTGGTTCCGTCCCTGGTAATGTCAGATGGTGTCTTAGTCTTGGTGCTAGGCAGCCTGTTTGAGACTACAAGCGATCCACAGTCTGTGGCTGTTGCCTTCAGATTTGGCTGGTCCCCACTGTTCTGCCCTGCCTGCTTTCTATCAGCCCAGGTCCCAGAAGTGGTTCATTTAATGACCCAAGAGGACTGCCAGTGCCATTGCCACCCTTCTCCAGAGGGGGCTTCTAGTGCCGTAGGGAGAATGGGAACCTTGGGTCACCCCCAGGGGGTGCTCTTCAGTTTTCAGGGAAGATGATGAGAGTGTTTCCCCGGCCCCTCACAACACGACTTGGTCTGTCCAATTCTTTCCAATAATATATGTTTCTGGTGAACTATCTGTTTCCTGTGAGGGGCCAAACTGAGTAAAAGATGCAGCTCTTTCTGCTTGGTGCACACCGCAGCTCTGTGAAGGCACAGAGACTGAGTGGGGCCCTGAACCTCCCTTGTTGCACCTGTCTCTGTCTCTGAGCTGATGATTTCAGTGGATCATGGCCCCAGGAGGAGTGTAGCTGTAGTGTCTGGTAGAAACTTTCAGAACTTTGGTCTTTCCCCTGCTGATAGGCGCCCAGCAGGGGACTCCTGAACCTGGCCTCAGTGACAGTAGAGCCTGTAATCCAGCAGTTGGGGGTTGGGCACACCTGCCTGTGAGGTGACCTGCCTGGTTGCAGTGAATCTCAGGTGTTCAGCTCCTGGCAGGCCCAGGTGAGCACAGGGTCCCTGCCGAGTCTTGAGTCTTGCCTCAACTCCTCTTTCAAGAGGAGTTTCTGTGTGACCCCCTCACTGCAGCACCAAAATCTGAGGGGCCTGTTCTCCGTGTGCTCCTTCTCCATAAAAAGCACAAAGCCTCTCTCAGTCAGGGCTGGCCACCGCATGCCAGAGCCTCAGGCAGTATGAGATGAAGTTTCTCTGTGGGTGCTCCTGGATGGTGCTGGGAAGAGTCCCACAGTGATAAACTATAACATGGGGCAGTGGCAGGGTGCTCTCAGCGCTCCCACCAGTGATTGTCAGCCTCGGGCAGGCCAGCTCCTGCCACACTGTTTCTGTGGCCAGCGCCACCCTGGCTGTCTCTCTCTACCCCGAGAGCTCGTGGCTCGTGAGCCGAACCACAGCCTCCTCACTGAGACTGTCCAGTTCGCAGTTCCAGAGGCACCTGGAGTCAGAGATCCGACAGCCCCTTCCCCAGTCAATACCACAGTCCCCAGATCCTGGCTCCCAGTGGCTCCTGGTGACTCTTGCAGGCTTCTGGCAGCGGTGGGCTCTCGGTTTCTGACTCCTGTTACAAATCACATCGAGTTCCTATTGTTCTACTTTCCCCGTAACACTAAAACCATCTTACTTTTGCCTATAAAGTCCTAATTATCCTTTCCACCTTGTGAAATCTTATCATCTCAAGGAGGTTTTTCATGATGTTTTGGTTAGGCTAAACTAATATCACAATTCTGTGTACTACACACCTAAGGGTCAGATGCACTTTTCTCATCTATATTCTTTTCTCATCTATATTCAGGCACCTGCATGTGCCTGCCTCTCCAGTAGAATGGAAACTCATTAACGGGACAAAATCTTCATAGTTCCACACCTTGGGCAATTCCTCTGGCATAACAGACACTCAGTGAATGTTTACTGAAATAAGAGCTGTCACTGGGAGCCTTTCTCATGTAAACTGTACCAGAAGAGTAAAATCTGTGTTCACCCATAGTTGAACTGCCAGGAGCTAAAGGCAAATTCTTAAATCTGTATTACAGAAATTCACATTTAAATGTGCACTGATCTCTGTTAAGTTTCTGAAGTTTTTGTTAAGACATTACTCAGCCTTATCCAAAAATTTATATTTATACATTAACTATTTTTAAATAATTTAATAATTAAAATTGTGGAATACATGTACCAGGCCCTGATACCATCTCATTTTATCTTTCCCAGCATCCCCAATAGGTACTGTTATTTTCCATGTTTATAAATAGGGAAACAGCCTGAGAAAAGTTATTCGTATTTAGAGCCAGAATTCAAACCTAGATCTGCCTCAGTAGAGCCTCTACTCCTAACAACCACACTGTATCATCTAAGGGAGAAGTGGAAACAATATTTGTTTTTGTTGGTGACCCAAATAGTGTCTGTCAACCAACTTTCTAATACTGTTGTATTTTAAAGATTATGTTGAGCCCAGGAAATTGTAGTCTTAGAATTTGACTGTAGACAAAGGAAAGTTGATTATGTTACCTACAAGTAATTTGTTTCTAAAAAGAAATTATCAAAAGCTACTTTGACACTGTGGCCTTTTGTTTCAGTATCTTAAGGAATTTTTTAAGGACAGGTTTCCCCCACTATCTGAAAGAAGAGCATTCCTATAAAACTTTTCCTAAGCCAAAATGGCATGAAGCAAATAAGCAATTACCATTAATTTATATGGAAAAATTTTGAGCATACCCAGACCCCCCAAAATAACCTTCCAAATCATATTAAATATACTTAATTATATCCAATTTTATACCAAGTATAACACTCTTATGAGCTTCCTTAGGCTTTCTGATATCTTAGGAGACATCTTGTTAATGGATGCACAAAATCAAGATAAAGGACAGATGCTCACAGACACAGCCCAAAGCTTTGGTGACTTGATGCTGAGATACTGCATGTAGTTCCCCATGAAAGATCTGGGTCGAGCCAATCTCACTTTTTCTGTAATGGCTCACTGCAAAACATATGCTGAATGCTATTTTTGCTTTCTTCATAAAAGCGAAAATCCTCTTCAGATTTCTTCAGGTAGAGAAAACTGGTACTAATACAGGTCTTTCATAACATGAACTTTCGAAAAGCAGAGGATACCTTTACTAGAACGTTTTAGTAAAAACAAGACTAAACTGAAACATTGAACAATGAATCCCTTAAAGAATAAGGTTATAAGGACATGAGGTTTCAATTGTGTTCCAATCCTCTTTGGCTACAAGTGATTTTACAGTAGTGCACCCAGCCTGGATTTCAGTGCCTTTAAGAGTTTTCAATGATTGTAAAAGTAAAACAAAATCCAACTGGATATGCCATTTACCCAAGAAAAATGCACAGACTCTCTCAAATATTAGATCTGATTTTAGGCTATGTGTGTGAAATTTTAGGAAAAATTCTGTCATTAATTAATGACTGATGGGGAAAATTAATAGTTTCAATAATTTTTTGAATAAACCTTCAAAAGCTATTTGTAAAAACAATATTTAAAAGTTTTTAGTTATAATAAGTGGGAACCACTGTTCCAGGAGCAAAAATTCTGTTTTTATTCCTGCAGGAAGGATGTGATCGTCGTAAAGATCTCATTAGTTAACTAATTTATGAGAATTTATCAGAAAAAGGAGTTTAGGGACACTTTCTTCAATTCCGAAGACAGAGAATTTGAAATAGCTGGCTGATTGGACCACAGAAAAGTACAAATTAATCAGGATACTGTTAAAAATGAATCACCACCTTTTTTTTCTTGCAGTTTATTTATGTGAATCAGTCCTTTGCCCCTTCTCCTGACCAGGAAGTTGGAACCCTCTATGAGGTAAAACAACTGCTTTATTTTCTTAAGGCAAGGTGCATATCTGTGAATAGCATTATTATTAATACCATCATTATTTTAAGAGATGCTGTTCTTAATTGCTTCTCGGAGCAGGGGGAGAAGTTACTTTCTTGTTTTCTGTTATATCTCTAACACCTTAAACGTAGCTGGATCTCAGTAAATTATACAGTGATTAAAGAATTAAGGAATGAATAATACAAACAGAAGATGACTTTGACGTATACCCAGAAAATAAGTTCTTTTTTACCTAATTTGTTTTTTCTACATTGTTTGTATAATCAGTAATCCAGATTTGCCTCTAAGAAATTTAAAAGGATACTTCATGACTTCATTTAACATTCTTACAGTTTCATGGCAATAATTATTATGATATATATACATAGTAACACCAGTAGTTTAAAACAGTATATACATTACAGTTAGAGATGTAAAGAAGGGACAGGATTAAAATATGTAAGCTCCTCCATGCCTGTGAAGTTTAAAGGAGAGGTTTTATTAAACATTGTGATTACTAATATGTGTCTGGTAGCACTTTGTATCTCTTGAAAGTAATGGCTTTATAGATAACTTACATGTACATTGTATGAGGATATTTATGATACATGTAACATTGTTTTTCCTTAGTTTTTGTCATTCTTAGATGAAACTAAGCTTAACTTACTGCCTTTTTTTCTTTTTGTAGTGTTTTGGCAGTGATGGTAAACTGGTCCTACATTACTGCAAATCTCAGGCATGGGGATAAACTACAGAAAAGATCTTGATACCTAAAATGAACCTTCTCAAAGGAAACAGCTCTGAAAAGTTTTGACACTTTTGGAAAGAGACTTGTGAATATGATCTACTCAGCATGTTAATCTGCTATGACCCATGTTTATACATTTTGAAAATTCATAGAGTCACAAAAATGTGATTTGCATTGCAGAAATCATGATAAAAGATTGACATTAGAGTATACCCAGTACTACAGCTATTTCTCCTTATATGCCTCCAAGATGTTAAAAAGGAGACTAAGATTGTAAAAGCCTCTGTTACCAGTTCTTAAAATTATTTACTTGTAGAATTAACACTCTGCTTACTGTTTTTCCACTGTAAAAGTCAGTTTAGTTTACTAAAGTATTCTTTTTGTGCTTATTCTGGGAAGTTCAATTTGTTCAAGGTATGGACATTTATATTTATACCTACAGTATTACAAAACAAAATCTCATTGTCCTGCTGGTTTTTTACCATACATAGTCCAGTAGAGGGCAGCCCAGCTGGCAGAAAGAGACATTTGGTTTTACATCTTTGCCAGATGATAATGGAAGAAAAAAGTGTCCTGCTCATTTCTAGCAAACATCTAGCCAAGACAACATGTATATTAACACACTGGAAGACTGTTTTAGAGAATATGCATGGTTTAGATTTAACTTTTATTGGAAAACAAAAGGAATTTTACAAATTTTGGACAAATTTCAGTCCAATCATTTGATGAGTCTTGAGCCCCAGTGGTTATAGTTGTGGTGACATTCTCTTATTTTTACAGTGTCAAAAGCACTCAAGTAAAGGTGACAACATCTTTGAGTTTTTTATAATGAATTTTTTCAACCTGAAAATGCTGAAAGAATTACTGGAAAAAGCCTAGTTTTTAATGCATATTTCATGCCGTGACTAAAAGTACCTTTTTTCTAATGCTATTAGAGTGGTATTTGCTTGAAGTGAGATTTAACATTTTTTCTCTATTCTGTACTATATTTGTAATATAGTATTTAAAAAGTGTCATTTCACTGATGTGTGGAATCTGAAAAACTAAACAAATGAACAAGCAAACAGAGTCATAGATCCAGAATAAGTGATTGTTGCCAGAGGGTTGGGTGGTAGGGTATGGGCAAAAAATGGTGAAGGGGGTTAAGAGGTACAAAACTATAAGTCACAGAGATGGAAAGTACAGCACAGGGAATACAGTCAACAATATCACAGTAACTTTGTACGGTGACACATGGATAGTTGACTTTGTGGTGATCATTTTTGTAGGGTGTATAAATATGAAAACTCAACATGCTATACAGATGAAACTAATATAATATTGTATGTCAATTATAGTTAAAAAGAGCTTTACATTCCAGAATAAAAATTAGACACGAATCCAAAAAAAAAAAGGCATTTCAGTAAATTGAATGGAATATCAAAACGGTCTAAAGTGTGACAAGAATTCTAAGTATTTATTTTCAAAGGTAATGGGCATGGTATGGTTTTGTCAGGGGACTTTGTACTATACTTAATGTCCGTTAAATCCTAGAATGTACTTTATGGTTAATGATCTGCCATACATTAGCATTAAAGGATACTAAGGAACAATTGAATTTATGGTGATAAAATCACTTTTCAGTTCTCATTTTCTGTCCAAGAATGGACTCTTAAGTCCCCTTATACCGATGTTCCTGTGTAATAACTTAATACACCTAGTAGTTAGCAGTGGAATAATACAAGTTAAACTGTGCAAATTTATCTTGTAAGACTAAGTAAGAAATTTGTATACATATTGAAAACTGGAAAGTATTTTCAAGTCACATATGTTGGATATAGAAAAGAACTCAACTTCATTTATAGTTTATTGAAGGATGTGAAAATATTTATATGCATATATAGTTAACAAAAATGTGTTTCACTTATATTTATTACTAAGGTTTCAGGTGATGGACTATTTACTACCTCAATAAGCAAAACGTCTTGAGTTTGAATTTGTGACATCAGTTGTTAATTTTTAATCTAAAGAATTTAGTAATTGATTAAATCTAAGGTTAGCTAAATATGTATATCCCGTGCTTGGTTTTTTTCCCTAATAACCTTGAAGAACATAGCATAGGGCTTTACACTATTACAAACCATATTTACACTATTATCTCTTAATCCTTACCCAAAGAGTGAATCATTTTACACTAACTTTGCAACATCTACTTGTAAGCCTGGGTCTCATACGTTATTGGGTGACTGGAACCTTATATACAATTCACAAATACTTTTGCAGATATCTGGTTTAAATTGTTAACTGTAATTGAACTTGGAGGGGGGACTGAACCCTCAGGTCATATTTTGTTTTCCCCGTTTATGAGAAAATCAATGTCAGTATGTCATGCTTTATCTTACTGTACAAAGATGACCTACAACATACAGTTGCATGTGTAATTATTAGACTATTGGACTATACCTAGGACTTCATAATGAGTTTCTCATACTTAGGGTATAAGGTAAGCTAAATAATATTAGATACTTCCTGGAATCTAATTTTCTAGACTTTTTAACCCTGAAGGCATCTTAAATATCATCTACTCAAATCACATTACAAAACTGAAAGAAGTGCAGACTATGCCCTCCATCATATAGCATTAGTCAACTAGTTGTATGTAACCCAAAGTGGGAAAGTGCAGTGTTCAAGGGGTATGAAAATTGCCTTTCATGCATTTTCTATCTCATTTTCCAAGGATTATAATATACTGGGTAGGCTTCTGGCACCAGGGAGGTCAGCTGCACACTACCTAATGGGAGGGAAAGTACTCGGAAAGCAGTGCAGCAGGTTTAGTCTTACAAGTAATTCCCCTGAAACATTCAAACCACACTATTCCCTGAACCTGCCTTCTTTTTTCTGTTTCTTACATCTCCTATTTTTCAGTTATGAAAGTGCACTTACCATTACCCCTTCAATTCCTGCGTCTACCTAATTCACGTTTTAACTTCTTAAAGCTTGTCTGAATCAGTCAAAGGGACATACTCTCTCCCTCATAAAAACAGTTACAGTAAACGACCACTCCTGCAGCACTGCTCCATACTACATTGTAAGCATTGTGTTCAACACCCTTTCATGATTGTATCCACATATGTCCCTAAAAATAGGATTTTTAAAATTTTCTATTTGGTACCCATATACATAATACTTATGCATACCTAATCAGTAATTCATTATAAATTGAGTGAATGAAATAAAGTGTGGCTTTCAAAGAATGGTTTAATTTGGAAAAACAACAGTAAAGAAAATTTGTGTGCAGTAGTCCCCACTCACCCATGACCTCCAGTGGATTCCTAAAACCCTGGGTAGTACTGAACCCTACAGATGGTACGTTTTTTAACTATGATGTAATAAAAGTGATGTGAATGGTGTCTCTCAAAATACACTCTTCCCTTCCTTGTGATGATGTGAGAGGATAACAGTGCCTGCATGATGAGATGGCTTCCCGTAACAACAAAACCTGAAGACCTTACAAGGTGATCTGCAGTCCCCACTTTCGCATATCTGTTCATCTTTGTTGTTATTAAAAAACTAAGTTTTCTCCCATCCTAGGGCTTTTGTATTTACTGTTTCCTCCACTTGGAAGTTTCACAAACATCCTTCAGTCCCTGCTCAAATATCACATCATCAAGAGTGTTCCCCTGAAGTCCCTCTAAAATAACACCACCCTCAACTCTCCTCCCCCTGCTTTAGTTTTCCTCCATTGTAAAATGTATACAGTATTTGTCCAGTTCATCATGTATACTGTATATGGTATTCCTTGGTGCCTGCGCCTCCCCTCCATTAGAATACAAGCTCTCTGAGGGCAGAGACTTGGTTTTGTGAGCGGTGCCTGGCATGTAGTGCATGACTTTGTAAGTGTATTGAATGAATAGTTGGATGTGTATTTCCAGACTTCTGATAATTCTGGTTCCCTTCTCTAGATATCTACCGATGTCAATGACTTAAAAATGTGTAAATCAATTGCCCTGGGCAATGCAGAGTGCAGTAGGCTACTACCTCTCTGGAACTAGGTATTCCACTTAAGTTACTAGAGCCTCTCCTTGCTACACACATCACAAAAGGGTGGCTTCTGGCGTGCTTTCCTTCCCAAGCCGTTTCTGAACAATGGTGATTGAGCTGTCATTTGCACTTCCTAAGAATGCCGTTAGCACAAGTAAATTTGTGTTATATATACATACATAAAGGGGTGGGCAAAAGCAGGTTTCGTTACCAGCCATCATTACCTAAAAGATAAATCATAAATAATGATATAAGACAACATAAATAGTACAATAATGAATAAACTTTCGTGTACTCACAACTGTAAACCTGTTGCCCACCCCTGTATATACATTGAAGTGAAGTCTAGGGGAAAAAAACGGATTACTCTTCCAGAAGTCTAGACCTTTTATAACCTTGAATCCAAATTATTCTCTGAGTCTATTAATGAGAAAGAAGGAATCTATACTTGAATTTTTTCTTTCCCTCACATTTTTCTTTTTTTTTGTTTTTGTTTTTGTTTTTGTCTTGTTCTCCGAGCATGTAAGTGCTGTGCACAACATAGAAATGTGTTTCCGTATAGGTATTAACAGTGGGCTCCTTCAAGCACATTCCTAGAAATGAAAGATTTAAATAGTCTAATTAGAACACTTTAAATTACTACGCTGGGAAAAAAACACAGAGCTTCTTTTCACCATAAAATGAAACATCGGGTCTTTGCACTGAATATTTTTTATGTTATGTTTGATTTTAATATCAAAGAGGGATAACTGGCCTTTTACCGTTTTTCTAGTCTGGCTCCACAGTCGAGTCTCCTTTGTCAAATGTGCTTTCAGAACAGTACACAATACAACATAAAGATAATGGATTATAGAATTGTATACCTGAAACCTATGTAGTTTTATTAACCAATGTCACTCCAATAAATTCAATTTAAGAGTTTTTAAGAATTTAAAGGAAGGCACACATTTCACCTAGCTTGAAGCATATTATCTACAGTTTCAATCCACAGAAACAGATCTCCATCTTGGGAGTGGAATCCATCCTCAACCTTCGCAAGCTCTTCGCAATTCCTCAGTTCTCTTTGAAAGGATGGGTCCCCTTCCTTCCTCAGCGTTCACCCCCTGCAGTCTTATTTCAGAACCCCCGAGGTCTGCGTCCTAGGTCGCGAACCCCTGCGGCCGAAAGGAGCCTCAGGGAACGGCGGCCGGGGGGAGGGTGCGGAGAGAGGGGTGGGTGGGGATGGGCGGCCAAAGTGCGCCCAGTTAAGGTCAGGGAAGAAATTGCGCCATGCCTGGTGCGAGCGCCGGGTTTTGGGAGGGAAGGGCTTCCGGTAGGGTTAAATTGCTAGGAGGGCCTTGCCCGCACGCTCCCGTCGCTTTCACCACCATCCTCAAGTTGCACCCCGCCTCCCCACCCTCGGAGGGCCATTGGTACATTCCCGCTGACTCCGAGAGCTTAAAAAAGGGCCCGGGAGGCTAAACCCAGCAGCTTTGGTTCTGATTTGTGTTTGCAGTGCCAGCTGCGCGATCCTAGATACTCTGAGCCGTGCTGGTTGGGGAGGGGTGTCTCTTGATATCTTGGCCAGGGATTTTAAAGCTGTGGCCGTCAAGTGTCTGGGGGTTTTGCGCTTATAGCTGTCTGGCTGACAGCTAAGGTCCCTCGTCCCCAGTTCCTAGGCTCGCTCAGCTTCTTCGCTGAAGCTCAGCAGTGAAAAAGGCGCGCTGCCACTTTTGCAAAGGATGGAGCAGACCGAGGTGCTAAAGCCACGGACGCTAGCCGATCTGATCCGCATCCTGCACGAGCTTTTTGCCGGTGAGGAGGTCAATGTGGAGGAGGTGCAGGCCGTCATGGAAGCCTATGAGAGCGACCCCGCCGAGTGGGCAGTGTACGCCAAGTACGACCAGTACAGGTGAGTGCGTTAGAGCCCGGCCCGCTGGAGACCTCGAGCGCGGGCCTCAAAGCCCAGCACCGCCTACTCTCGGAGGCCGCGGAGAAGCAGGCTTGGGGGGAAGGGTCGGAGTCTTGCACGGTGAGAGTGCGGGCCTCTTCGCCCCCAAGCTTCTAGCGCCCCAGGGCCTTCGCTGGACCGCAGCGCTGCGCCTCCTACTCCGTGGGCGCCCCTGTCTCGCTCTCCGCGTAACTTAGGGCGGAAGGTAGATACTGCAGAGGTCGCCCATCGGAGGGGAGGCCACCGGGCATCTACAGCTTGCTCTTTTCTCATGTGAACCTCTCGGCTTTAAAACCACCACTTCTCCCTTTGCCCCTGGCCTCGGGAGCAGTGCCCTGGGCTAATGGAGGGTGGTGTTTCCAGGAGACAACCGTATCAGCCATTCGGAGAAAAGGGTACGGTGGAGGACACAATTCCTTACGCTAGTTCTCCATCACTTCAGTCTCGGTCGCCTGCAACCGGGCACCTGCCAACAGGCATTTTTTTTTTTTGCGTCTTGGAGTTGTCAACTGCTATTTTTCAGTATGTGGTGCCCCTTCTCCCAAACCAGTTTAACTTCGCGGACTGCGCTTTTATGTAAACCCACCATCGAGTTCGCGAAATAAACGACTGTCTCTCGCCCCCAAGCAATGTGCTTTCTCTTAGGCTTAGTTCTGAGGATCTGGAATGTAAATTGAAGACCGCTGCTTCCCAGCTCTGCTGGATTGAGATCCCTGGGAGGCCTGGTCCTTTGCAACACTGAATTGGTGATGAAGTAAAAATGAACCTCTACCTATCCCCTAGGGCCAGAAGTAAAACTTAATAACCCCGAGGAATGAGAGGTTCTTTTCTGAAGGGTAGCTAGAGCTTCAGTCTTTGTGGTTAGGTGGATCAAGGGGGAGTAGTTGAAATAGAAGAATAAGGAAAGATTATGCTTTCCTTGGTAGCAGTTTCTGTTAGTCATTTCACTAAACATAGGGCGTTTGGTAAAGTTGTGTCGGCAAGGGCTGTTTCAACTCTATTTTAGGATTTGAAATAGGTGAAGCCTATATAGGATCCTATTTCCCACTTTCAAGTGGCTCTAGGAAATTCCTTTGATTCCTATGAACCCAGTTCAGTGTAAGGTCCTTCTGTGGCTGCCAGTAAATTTACCAGAGTCTAGTTTTTAATTTTGCCATTAATGCCAAGTAATTGAGGGCTTTTTATGGGCCAGGTGCTCTTCCAGTCACTTGACAGTCGTATTAATTCATTTACCTCAACAAGCCTATGAGATTGGTTCCCTTCTTATCCCTATTTTACAGGTGAGAAATGGTAGGCAATAAAAAGTCTGGATTATCTGCACAAAGTCATATTTCCTTCAAGTGGTGCCAGAATTCAAATTAGCATTATTGTTCCAGAACCCACACTCTAAATCACTATTAAACTTTTTGCAGACACGTGGAGCATAATAGTGGTGTTCTTCTTCTGCCTAAAGATATTATTGATTAAGTGAAATTAATTAACCAGGTAGGTTGTAAGTGCTCATAATATTTAGAACAGGACATTTCCATGAGCCTTAAATTTGTCTTGATTGACAAACTCTAAATCATTTGAAATGCATCCACTTGAATTGATCTATTACACAGGTATCTGAGATACAGCTCATTAAGATAATGAGTGCAGTCCTGGGTGGGCGTTTAGGGGAGGAGAGAGGGACGGAGAAGGGAGAGCAGAAATCAGTTTGACAGTATTTTCTGCATGTAATAAGTGCCCACGCACTGCAAGATCTTTGACCTTGGGAAGGCAGTGCAGAACTAAGAATATGTTCCAATGGGAGTCTGACTGAATTCTCTGGAAGAAGCCCCAGAGAAGCAAGAGGGGTCACCCTAAGACTGGTAGAGAGCGAAGTAGTACAGGAACCAAATTTACTGTGAATTAAAAGCTATCTGCACAGACCCTTGCCAGGTCACAAAGGGCTACAAAGTCAGGACGACTGACATCTAAAGAGCTTTTGCTCATCACCTCCCTCAGTGATACTGCTCTTCTGCATCTGGCTTTTAACTGGGGGGAGAAGAGGGAGGAGGGGGAGGAAGGGGCACATAGGACATTAGTGAACAGATGATCTATGAACAAACACTCACCCAAAAATGCGGTAAAGATTACTTTCCTTAAAAGTGACAGTCTAAATAAATGTCGTAATTATCAGACTTTGCTAATTATATAACATCATTAGTACCTCTTGAACCAACAGAAACTTTAAAGCAGATTCCCACCCCCACCCCCCATGGTGTGGTTGATTCCCCCGCCCCACCCCCCACCCCCCCCCCCGCGCCCCCCCACCCCCCCCCCCCATGGTGTGGTTGTGGTTCTGGTTCAGGATTTTTTTTTACTTTTATCTTTGGGCTTGTTGCTGTGTTCTCATCATTGTAAAAGGTTTAGAGTATTAGTTACTTTCCTAATGTAGTCTCTTATGTTCTGACTTAGGTCAACCCCCACTGTATTTATGGAGGACTTTTCATTAGGAACATTTCTGAATGTGGTTTGGGTCTTGGCTATAAGTAAATCTAAGGAGAATTCTAGAACAGCTATTTAATAAAACCTTGTTTCTCAAGTTCAGGTGTAGCTACCTGAGTGAAAAGACAAGACAAAACAATAGCAACATTCTTTCCTAGAGCACTAATGCACTTTGCAAATACCGTCTGTGAGGAAGTTTTATTCTTTTTATCAGTTTGAGGCAGTCACGTGGAGGAAAAAAGGAATTTGCTTTTATTCCTGTTAACTTTCCCATGCCATTAATTAAAACAACAGCTATAAAAGTGATTCAAAATATAAAAATGCCCAAAATGAACTGGGAAAAATATTTTTCATTTGTGCTGGATTTCTAATTAGAAAATTATGTTCAGAGTTGCTTAGCAGTAGAAATAGTAATATCTGTAAATCAGTGATATTTTGTGACACACTTATTTTTCCCAGGGCTTGTTTCAACCAAATTCAATCTTCTGAATATATTCTTTTCAGGTACACCCGAAATCTTGTGGATGAAGGAAATGGAAAATTTAATCTAATGATTCTATGTTGGGGTGAAGGACATGGCAGGTAATACAACTATTCATTCCCAGATATTTATTAGAGCATATATTCCAGCATATGAAATACGCAGTGCCAAGCTGGCCACAAGTCTTGACGAGCACTAACAAATCTCATTTTATAATTAATTGTCCCCTAATCCCAACAAAAAAATCTCATGGGAATTAGTATCAGGGGTTTAGGCATATACAATGCATATCAAAACCAGTCCCCCAAAATGAATAATAAGTGAAATAGGTAGTAACCAGTTTAACTTATTTTCTCTCCACATTTTTATGGGATTGTGCTAAAACTTGATTTTTGTCATGTATTTTGAAGTGTGTAAACAATTATGGGACCAAAGACTCTAGTGTCCAGATTTGGAGCTAGAAAAGCAATTCACAAATTCAGAACACTTCTTTCTACTTCAAATTTATTGTTTATTTTCTTAATATAGAGGGCAAGGCAACTTAGTCTAATACCAAGTCTTTGGAACTTGGTTCCTTGTTTTTCCTTAAACATTTGCCAACATTAGTATTAATTGAGTGTTATCTCTTTAAACAGGTCCTTCTCAGTCTTTTGAGAATGGTGAAAACAATAAGCTAGACCTATTTTTGATGGGAGAAAGGAAATACAAATTTACAAGACTTTGGAAAATTAGGTCTATAGAGTATGTTTATGTACTCACGGAGTGGCATAGCTTTCACTCATTCAGTATTTTTTCAAAGCAGACTATATATCAAGAGTAGGACTAGGCTCTGGATTCAGGAGACAAGTTCTTCCTATGATATATATGAGGGCTAATAGAAATAAATGCCAAAAATGTATGTAGATTCATATATTTTAATCAATCCTAGAGCTAATTCTACTTAATAAACTTAAATACTATTTACTCTAAAATTATATGAATAATTTCTTTCCCCAAATCAAATTTATTTTCTTTTTCCCATGAATATTGAGATGTAATCACAGGTAGGATACTCGAAATCTATAGAATGTTAACACTATATATATATATATATATATATGTATGTATAAAAACATATCCATATTCATATGTATACATATATATGTTACAGTGTAATTTTAGGGTGGTGGTAATAGATACACATACCGTTTGTGCCCCAAAGGAAGGAAAAAAGAGAAAAAGCCTGAGAAAAATCATTAAATATTAACTGGTGTTTTCAGTGTTATGCAATGATTGTAGGTGATTATCTTTGTTCTTTCTAAAATTTCTCCATTGTAGTCTTATAATCAATTTTTAGCCCAGCTTAACTGAGTTATTCAAAGCTATATGTTCGAGAAGATAAAGGTTGCTGGTTTTGCATTTCTTATATGAAAGTAGTATTACAACAAGGCCTTAAAAAAAATTAAGTGTTCTTTAGTAGGGGATATGCATGAAAATTATACCCCTTATATGCATTGATATAGAAGACATTTTGTTTACCTTGAACAATGTTGAATCATAAATTAGCGACATTTAAAGATCTAGCTGAAATGGATTTTATCCTGGGAGGTGTCCTATTGGCAGTACGCAGCTGTCGATTCTGGGCCGACTGTTACTACAGGTCTGGGTGCTGGACCACTTACTGAGTTCATGTGTCATTTTGTGTATATATAGCAGTATCCATGACCACACCAACTCCCACTGCTTTCTGAAGATGCTGCAGGGAAATCTAAAGGAGACATTGTTTGCCTGGCCTGACAAAAAGTCCAATGAGATGAACAAGAAGTCGGAAAGAATCTTGAGGGAAAACCAGTGTGCCTACATCAATGGTAACATCCAATATCTTCTTCTAAGGGCAAGTGGGAAAAACTTTTAATTCCCATCTGTAATATTGGTTACTTACACATGTGCAGTAGAACTTGGATCATGGAGTCATGATTTCAGATACTTGGGAAAGGGCCTGAAAGCAGTGGGTTTTGTTTTTTAAAGTTTTGTGTTGGGATTAGAATCACTTACTAGAAACATGTGTATAGATTTGTGCCAACTGGAAAGTCATTTACCTGTCAAGTCTTAGGATAGTTAGAATCAAAAAAATTTACATGTGTAGAGTCTTTTAATAAAGGAATGAGGCCACGGTTGAAATATTAGTTTTTGCGTTAGAAAATGTAAAGAAATAGCCCTGGCCGGGTAGCTCAGTGGGATAAGGCATTGTCCTGATGCGCCAAGGTTGGGGATTCTGTCCTCGGTCAGGGCACGTACAAGACTTAACCAGTGAATGCATAAATAAGTGGAACAACAAATTGGTGTTTCTCTCTCTCTCTCTCTGATCAATAAATTTAAAAAAAAATTTTTTTTAAAGAAAGAAAATGTAAAAAGAAATGTTCTGGAAGTAGTTAGTGCTAGCTAGCCCCTGTTTTTCCAAACTGCATATAACATGCTTAAAAGAATAGTGTCAGGGGAAACTTTACAAAGCATATCATTTAGCACTGATTTATGGATCTCTCACCAAGGATTCATTCTTTCCCCTAAATGTGATATAGGAAAGCCAAATGCTTTTTAGGAGAGGTAGTGATTAACATCTATATTCTTAAAGGGGATAGGAACTTTCCAGAAAGCTTGTTAAGCTTATAGGAGGTAATTTATTCCCACTAGCAGATGAGATTCCAACACATAGGAAAATTAAATAACTTGTCCAAGTCACTCAGCTTTTAAGCAGCAGCCAGGATTTGAACCTAAGTAATTTGATTTCAAAGTCTGTGCTCCTACTGGATGAATCCCACTTATATACAATAAAATTTTAGAGATTTTTCTAGCAAAGGAGGCTCTTTTTTAAAGACAAATATTGGCCTTGATACTTGGCTTAAATTTGTTCATTAGTTTCAGAATGCACTTAGAAAGGTAAGATTATACAGTAGTCCCCCATTCTCTTCAGGGGATATGTTCAAAGACTCCCAGTAGATACCTGAAACTGGTTTGTACTGAATCCTCTATATACTATGTTTTTTTCCTATACATACATACCTGTGATCAAGTTTAATTTATAAATAAGGCACAGTAAGAGTAAAAGCAATGATTAATGATAAAATAGAACCGTTATAACAATATACTGTAATAAAAGTTATGTAAATGTGGTCTCAAAATATCTGATAACTGAGATGGCTACTAAGTGTCTGAAGGGCAGGGCACCTATGCAGCAGGTTGGACGAAGGGATGATTCATCACTGGGTCGGATGGAATGGGAGATTTTATCACACTACTCAGAACAGCACACAATTTAAAACTTATGACTTGTTTATTTTTGGAATTTTCCATTTAATATATTCAGATGATGGTTGACCACAGGTAACTGAAACTGCAGAAAGTAAACTGCAGATAAAGGGGGACTATTTATGGGAAGTTTTTTCTCCCCATTCACATAACATACGATGTTAATTTCTTATGTGGCAGGAAACTCTTATTTGAGGGTTGCTATGTATATGAGGCACACCAGATTTTCAAGAACAAGTTTGTTGCCCATATAATGCACAATAAATCAAAAACTACTTTCAGCTAGTCATAAAGTCTTTGTGAAACTAGATTAATCTTGAAGAATCTACAAAGCAAAGGGTACAGGAGTCAAGCAGATAAGGCGAATGGGCACTGGCTGCAGGCCGGGAATGAGGCTGTGGAAAGTGGTGGGTACAAGCTCGGAGGCACCAGTGGGCACCCGGCTCCCGCGGAAGCATCTGGATGTCTTTTTCCATAGAAGTGGGAAATTCTGATTTTTATGAGAAATTTTGACAGTTGGTGAAATATTGGGTGGGATAAGCTATTTATTTCTGTACACAACCTTTGATTTTTATGGATGCAGGAGTAGGAGTGCAGAGAGATACTAATCAGTGGGGATGGTGTTTTAATTACAGGGAGGAGCATGAGTCAAAGCACAGTCGATTGTTAACCTAAAATCTAGCCAGGAAGGATACACCTGGAAGGAAGAAGGAAAAATGGGCTTGGACAGGAGTAGTGGGAGAGTAAATTGAGATCAGGTTGTGGGCCTCCAAGACCAGCTTGAATTAAGAGCTTGCTTTGGTCAGCAGAATTTTATGTGGGAATATCTTGATCCTTTGGGTAGCAGCCTACAACATAGAGTGGAGGAAAGGGAGAGCTGGGGCAAGGAGACCAAGTTACTCATTGTAATAAGCAAAAGGTGGACATGACCAGGCTCAGACTGGCACCAGTAAGTATCACCAAATTCAGAATTATTGTGAGAGAGGGCACAACACGGGGATAAAGGAAAAGAGGCAAAATCCAAAAATAATGATAATAATGTTGGGATTATTAACAATTGGGACCAGACATGAGCTTCAAGAGCTTCTCTAAAGGGTAGATAACTAGTTTTTCCAAGTTGGAGAAACACATAATTAATTTGTATAAGGACAGTCAGTTCTTAAGAATTTTGAACTTCAGTTCAGAATTGTGGTTAAGCCAGAGTATTCTTAAAGCGGTAAGCTGTAGAATGAAAGAGTTTACAGACCTGAGAATTAGACCCCATGTAAGTGAGGAAAACTGAGGATTCCAGGAGTTTTGATATGTTTAAATATAGCCTAGCTGGGACTAAGTCCTCTGCTTCTAGGCTTTGCTCTGTCGTGCATGCTCGTGGAGCCAGATCATAAAGCCTAAGGTCAAACTGGGTGCTGTCTACATGAACTACACTATTTACACTGCGTTCTCTTCTTGATTACTCATCAAACTTTCTCCTAAGTATAAATTTCTCCTCAGCATATTTTTTTTAAATCATGTGTTTCATCATTATTTCTTTATTTTAACCTTTGAGACATTCCCTCCAGGACCTTTTGATGAGCCTCAGTGGGATCGGTTGACCTCTAGTCCAGGTCTCAGCTGTCATCCTGAGGTCTCGCATCATCCAGGCTTTCCCTTTGTCGTCTCCTTTTGCTAATAAATCCCCTTGTTTTCTGGTTGCCTGTCTGCTTCATCCTTGGTCCAGGACCTTGTTTTAGTAGAGCATATCCTCCAATGGCTCTGTGAGGATGGGTTCATGGAAAGAAATTTTTTGAGACTTCATCTATCTAAAAATTTCTACGTTCAGCCCCTTGCAATTTGTTTGATAATATAGCTGAATATGGAATTATGATCAAGAATCATATTCTCTCAGAATTATAAAGAATTATAAAGATAATTGACTTTTAGTTTTCAGTCTTGTTGTTGAAAGCCTAGTGTCATACTTGAATCTTTATGTGAAGCCTATTTTTTCTTTCTAGAAACTTTTGAGATCTTTTTCGTTGTATTTCCTCTGTCCCCAGTATTGTATTTTCTCTGTTCACAGTATTGTACAGGTATATACTGTGTTTCATACCTCTCATTCATTGTGCTGTGCTGGGTACTCAGTTGGTTCTTTTAGCCTGGAAATTCATGTCCTTCCATTCAAGAAAATATTGTCAAGTTATTTCTTTGACTTTTTCTTTTTGCTCTGTTTCTAAAACTCCTACTACTTAGATACTAAGCCTTCTCTGATTTATTCTTTCTTTCCTATTTTCTATCTTTGTTCTTTGAGTCTTCCTCAGCTTCCTAAGTTTTTCTTCCAGCCTTTCTATTCAGGTTTTTATTCTAAAAGCTCTTTTTATTCTCTGGTCCTTTTATAGAATTTTCTCTTATCTCTCTGAGGATATTAATGATAAGTTTGTTTGTTTTTAAAGTCTTCTCCTGAATTGTGTCTGTTTCTAGCTGCTTTTTTTCACATTGCTCTGTCCTCTGTGTTTCGTACGTGAGAACTTGCTCAAATATCTGGTGACTTTGGCTGTGTGCTAATATTTAAAAACTAGGCACAGAAAAACTCAGTTAGTAGCTCTGAACACTGGACTTTAGGATAACCTAGCAGATCTTTCTTGCTTTCTTTCCCTTTTTTTTTTTTTTTTTTTTTTTTTTTTTGAGGAACAACCAATGGCAGTATCCTTAGGGCTTTTGTTCTTGAGCCAATCAGATTCTCTGAGAAACTGCTTTTTGTCTCCAGCCTGGAGAAAAAATTCCTGTCTGGCAGCATTCTGGCAACTAGGTGGTAAAGACAGTGGGGCTCTTCCCATTTGATATGTAAATTTTCCCTTCAGTAACCTGTTTTTCACCTGTCCTGAGTTCATCTATTATATTATTTCTAAAGAATAGATCTCAGACTTCTACCAGGGGGAAGGAGTGGGAGAAGTAGTGAAAGGGAGGGAAGACTCTACTGAAATAGGCTTTTAACCAGTTCCTGTATTTTTAGCCCTGTCTTCATCCCCTTTTTCAGAAAGACCCATGCTGCCAATTTCTGAGCTGTTTGGGAGGTTCACAGTATAAATCAGTAGATGAGTGTTTAGCTTTCTCTCTTCTGCAAAGCTCTTTGTCTATAGTTAATTCTGAACAACATGGGTTTGATCTGGATGGATCCACATATGCACAGGATTTTTTCAACAAATACTTACAATGTTTTATATCTGAGGTTGGAAGTCTGTGGATGCAGCATGCTGACTGTATGCATTGATTAATCCTATTTTATACAGGGGACTCATTTCCTTGGATTTTCTGTATCCACGGGGGCGGGGGGGGGGGCGGGCGGGGGGCCTGGAACCAATTCCCCATGGATACTGAGGGACAGCTTAAGCTTTGGAGGAACCAAAAGTTATATGTAGATTTTTAACTGTAGGGAGTGGGAGTTGGTGCTCCTATTGTCCACATCGTTCAAGAGTCAACTGTATGTTTAAGCCTTTAATTTTTTATTAATGTTTTCTCTTTTCCATTTTGTGTGTTGATGCCTTTTTACTCTTTTACTGAAGTTTTAGGGGGAGTTTCAGGAAAGAACAGAGTGCATGTGGCTTACTGTCTTTAGCAAGAAGTTAAATTCTAATTTTGTTCATCCCATATGTACCCAATTGATTCATGATCTTAGGTGATTGACAGAGTTTTTACCTATTTTATCATCTAAAATCCATCTATTCTTCTGGGTTGTTGTTTAGATTCCATTGGCTTACATCGAGTAGAAAATATTAGCCATACAGAGCCTGCGGTAAGCCTTCACTTGTACAGTCCACCTTTCGATTCATGCCATGCCTTTGACCAAAGAACAGGACATAAGAACAAAGTCACCATGACATTCTATAGCAAATTTGGAACCAGGACTCCATTTGTAAGTAATTGTGGGTTAGCAACATTATACTGTATGCATTGCTTTTTTGGTCTAGATATTATTTGAATATTTTAAGTATTCTTGAAGTTTAGATGAACCTTAACTTAGGGGGAAGGCCTCTTATATCCTAATTATTTTCTTTAACTTTGGAGACTATATTTTCCATTTATAAATAAACTTAAAGTAGATATACAAATTATTGAGAAAATTTAAAATGTATGCTTATTTCTGAAATGTTTTAATTTATTAGAGAAATAAGAGCGAAACCTGTTTGATACAGCCTCAGCTATGACTTAATATTCGTAAGTCTAATTTGCTAGGACAACACAAATAACCTGCAGAGTTGACCTTTGCAAAGTTTGTGACCCTATTCTGATCATACAACTGAAGAAACTTGCCTGTTTTGATTGCCAGATTGTTTTTTGTTGGAGTAGTGATGCTGTTCAGACCACAAATAAATGAGAGAAGACTATAACAACATGGTCCCCCTTGAGGAACAAGTGTTTCCACCTAAAAATAATAAGGCAACCAATAGTAATATGATATGGCAATCTTCTACCTCTGGTGAAATAATTTGGCCATTTAAGGGAATGGAAAGACTGAAAACAATTCTCCTGAGTCTTACAAAAAGTATGGCCCTTGAGAGAAGCTAGGGCAGAATTTTCTCAAGTGATTGCCCTGCTTTGTTTTCTGCATTTTGATCCCCCAAGAGCTACTCTTATGGCAGGAACAATACAACAGGGCTCCATGGCCACCGGTGAGTTTTCATACACTGATAAGAAAGGACTACTTAGAACAAACTGAAGTGTCTGGTATGAAGATTGTTACACAGCTTTTTTTCTTCTTTCTTGCAGACAACTTCAGGATCACTGGAGAACAATTAAGGAGCCCCCAACCCTCTAAGGTCTGCTGAACTTTTGCCTTAGACAGGAAGGCCTCCCACCATTTCCTGTTCAGTAATACACTTTACAAAACCAATACTTAGATCTCCTGTAAGGCAGATGCTAATAATAAGGCATTAAATAAGCAAATAGTGCCCTGAGCTACAACAGAAGAAAAATCCCACTAAAAAAAAGAAGGCTTGTGATTTTAAAGGCCAAATAAAGTATTCCCCTGGTTTTATTCTCTAAATCCTTTGGAACCATACAGGGAATATCAGTGAAGGTTTTTATAGCTTTTGGAAACACATTGTCTCGGAACTGTAATTAGCAACAAGAAACCACAGACATCAAATGCCTGTCTTGTGACTTGGATAACTAAATGTAGATGTCTTTAGTATACTTTGTATGTTCTTAATATTTGAAGAGAATTTTTTGAATCTGTGGATTTTATTTTTTCAACCATATTTTACCAATTCCTGTTCTATAAATAATAGGGTGTTGTAGATAGAGAAATTTAAGGTACTTCGACATTTGGTAATGAAATGAAGGACAAAGGATTTAGAAAAGTACATGTACCCAAACCCAGAACAAACCAAAAACACAGTCGTGTCTGGTGTGCCCAGTGGTCATAGTCAAAGACTTTGTACTGCTCTCAAATTCCCAAATAATTTTAATAAAACTGGATTTGAACACAATTTGAAGTCGTCTTTCTCTTACACTTCATAAGGATTTCATAAAATTCATAGTTTCCTGGATTTGGTTAGACTACCAAAAGCAGTGCAAAGTATGATTTTTATGATGTAAGAACATGAGAGGACCAAAAAGTGCATTCAAAAATAGCTTCCCTTTCTGGCCTTTACATGGATTCACTAATTGGCTGGAGATACTAACCTGAGGGGATACATGTAGGCAACTAATTTTGCCTAATACTCATGTGTAGGTCTGTACAGGCATACCTCGCTTTATTGTACTTTGCTTTATTGCGCTTTACATATGTTTTGTTTTTGACAAATTGAAGGCAAGACCCTCAACCAGCTAAAAGATTACAACTCGCTTTATAGCAGTAGTCTGGAACCAAACCTGCAGTATCTGCAATGTATGCCTGTCTGTGCTTAAATGTGAATTATTTTTCAACACTTAAAAAACTAGAGATTTCATAGAAAATGTGGATTTATGCTTCTTGAAAATTGGAAGTATCTAGCAACACTGGACCTGCACTGCATTTTCATTGACATCAATCAGCTAGGCTAGAGTCTGTCCCTTAGATGAGGCCGCCCCTCCAAATTGTGGCAGCCCCAAAGTTGCCTATTTCCCTTATGTGTGTTACCAGAAAAGCCCACATATGCATTTGAGTTTGTTACCCCTAGTTCAAGCAATTTTCTTAGAAACATCTTAGAATGTATTATCTCTAGAAACAATTAGAAAGCAATGTCCTTTGAAGATAGTTCTACATAGGTCATTGATTGCAATGGTATCATCTCATAGAATTATTTACATCTTTACATCTTTGCTTCCTCTCATTTTTGAGAAGGATGTTTTATTTATTGAGTGCTTACTACATACTAGCTATTGTTACAAGTTGTTTAAATGTACTAGCAAACTTAATTTTGTTTATACCATGAAACTCCTTATGAATTAGGAACTGTATTGGTTTTCTAGTGCTGCTGTAACACATTATCACAAACTTGGTGGCTTAAAACAACATAAATTTCATTTTCCTACAGCTCCATTGGTCAGAGGTTGAACAGTTTTACAGCACTAAAATCAAGATGTCAGCAGGGCTGCTTTTTTTTCCCCCAAGATTTTATTTTTAAAGAGAGGAGAAGGGAGGGAGAAAGAGAGGGAGAAAAACATTGGCCAGTTACCTCTCGTATACATGCCCCGACCAGGGACCAATCTTTCTAAGTTCTGGGTAGGATCTGTTTTACTGGGTTTTTCTTCCAGAGACTGCCCTCTCTAGGGACCTTTGTATCCTCTTCCTCCACTTTCAAAGCCAGCAATGGCAGACTTAAGTTCTGTATCTTAGTACTCCTGACCTATTCTCTCCTCTTGTACTTTAAGGACTCAAGTGATTAGGTAACATCTCCATCTCTAGGTTGTACCTTTTAATCATATCTGTAAAGTCTCTTTTGCCACGTAAGATAACGTTCACGGGTTCTGGGAATTAGGACTTGGACCCCGGTGAGGTCACTCTGCCTATCACAGTTTGCCCTCTTCCTCCTCCCAGTGAGCCACGCCTATCCCACATGCAAAGTAGGCTCACCTCATCCTAAGATCCCCAAAGTCTCATCCCCTCGCAATGTCAACTGAAATTCCAAAAATCTTATTTAAATTATATCTCATCATTTAAATTCATTATGGGTAAGGCCTTGTTATGATCCATTCTGGGACACAGTTCTTCCCCATATTTCAGACCTGTTATACACAGTTTAGAAACTTGCCGAAAGTTATGCAGCCAAGAGATTACAGAGGATTTGAATCCAAGTAACCTTCCTTTAAAACTCATTCTCTTTATACTCGAGCCTTTCAGGGTAAGAGAAACCTAGGCCACTTCTAATTTTTGTTTCCTATTTTTAAACAACAAAATTATGGTATCTTTATATGTTTTATAGGTGTAGTATATTTAAATGTTTAATATGTTGCACTTTTAACGTGAACAAATGTGGCAACGCCAGCAAACAAAATGGGGGTTAGGCTGCCTGCCACAAAAAGTTGAACTCGTGGTGCAAGGGCTGGTGCAAAAGGGAAGCAGTGTTACTCAGGAGCCACACAACCCAGGAGAACGGTGGGCTGCCGCTTCAAAGACCCTCTCCCCGTCCTCCTCGAGCTGAGGTTCTTAAAGGGATAGACAGGGGAGGGATTTTTAAATCCAATTATCTTTCTAGCTTTTGGCATTCTTGAAGTCCTAACCATTTATGTTTCTAGCTTTTGGCACCCTCAGTGTTAGACCCTCCCCCTTCTGCCACTTTGGCCAATGGGGGGACTCTGTGGCACTCCACTGACTGTCTCCAGTAACAGTATACCTTATGTGTGACAAGTAATGGCCATATCTGAATTTGAGGGTCTTTGTGCATGTAGGGCTCAACCTAAATGGCTGCTCTGCAGGTCCTGGCTGTCCTGGCCATCCTGCCCACCCTGACCTCTGTGATTGGCCCTGTTCTCTACTGCTCATGACAATGTTCACAGAGAAGCAGACATGCTTCTCGAGGAGCTCAGCACACACTTGGGTTGATGAGATGCACACACACGTGCCCAGCAAGGCAGCTAAGCCATCAAGGGCTCAAAGGGATTATGTAGGAGGAAGAAGGAACATTGAGGGTTGGAATCACGCTGGCTGCTAAAGGTGAATGGGGTGTAAAAGAAGAGGATAAAGGCCTGAGTCTAGAGGAGGAGGAATGAGCACAGTGTGTGAGGAGACAGTAAAGGGCTGGTGGTGAGCCCACAAACCACCTTAGCACTCAGCACCTCCCACCTAACCTACAGCTCAAGTTTCAGAACATGCTGTTCCCTCTGCCTGGTATGCCCTTCTTGAACTCTCTCTATGGCTGGCTCTTCTTGCTCTTCAGACATCAGCTCAAATGCCGCCTCCCAAAAGGGATTCCCCAGACACCTTATCTGAACGTAAAATCTCCAGGCACTCTCCATCCAATTTTACTGACACACTTATGATTACCTGAAAACTGTCATTCCTTTTTTTCTCTTTTTTATCATCTACATCCTACTAAGAGGATGCAAGCCCCATGAGATAGACAGTGTTTCATTTACTGCTGTATCCTGAGCACTTAGGCCATATCTGACACAAAGGAGGTACTCAATAAATATTTATAAAATGAATGGAAAAACCCTCAATCTCCTTACTTAAGAATTATATTCGCAAACTCTTAATGCTATGGTCTCTTCTACACACCAACAAATTGTGTGTCATGTTATTTTTATTAAGTATAGGAATTCTAAGGACTGTTTTTTTTAAGCCACAGCTTGCTTTCTCCTGTGGCACATGTCAGAGGCTTATCTTCTGGTGTGGGTTCATTAATCATGTACTCAGACAAACTAGTTGATGACTAAAGGGCTTTTATGTGTATTACAAGGAAAGGGACAGCACTACTTACCCCGTTTAGCACTGATGCTTAGCCTTTCTTTCTTCCTTTTTTTTTTTTTTTTTTTTGCAAACAACTATGATAATCTCTGAATGCTAAAGAACTTTCTCCAGAAAGGCCAGCACACAACAAATATGTGTACAATCTCAGAAAATATTTTTAGACCCCGTGAAGTCCCCTCGGGGCTCCAGTTAAAGAACCCTGTCATATGTGAGTCAAGGTGTATGGGAAGTAGTGTGTGGCTCTTGCACTTCGTTTCCTGAGACAGGAGGGCATTTAACAAGCTGGGTGACTAGTTAACCTTTTAAAAGTTACAGCAGGATTTCTAAGAAACATCAGAGACCAGTGCTACTTTGTCCAAGGCACATCCATACATTTCTCAAGATCTGTTTTCTTTCTTCCTAAAAACATTCCATATATTTCAGAAAAACATGTTTCATAATGTTATCTATCCAGTTAGTAGATGTTCTCTTTAAAAAGTGTATATGGGATAGTGAAATAAGCCAGACGCAGAGGTCAAATATCATATGATCCCACTTATACAAGGTACATAGAATAGGCCAATTCATAGGGACAGAAAGTAGACTAGAGGTTACCAAGGGAGGAGGGGACGGGGAAAGGGGAGTTATCGTTTAATAGGTACAGAGTTTCTTTTGGAGATGATAAAAATAATTTGGGTACAGATAGTGGTAATGGGTCCATAGCATTGTGAATGAATTGTACATTTATAAATGATTAAAATGATAAATATTATATTATGTATATTTCCCCACCATAAAAAGAAAAGTTATTTCTAAAATTTAAAAAAAAATGCCTGTGGGAGAAAATGTCTGTGGGGGCAGGAGGGTGTTGTATGTGTGTTGGTATAGCTAAGACCTACTGTCATACAAACGATATGAAAGGCATTTGGTGAAAAGTTTCCTTTCTCTTCCTCTCCTCAAGCTCTCAGTTTCCCTCTCTACAGGTAACCTATATTACCAGTTGCTTGTGTTACCTCATTTATCTTTCCCATTGTTTATGCACAGGGTAGCATTGTAACATCCATGTTGTGCACTTTATAAAGGACCTTTCCATATCAGAATGCAAACAGCTCCTGCACTCTTTGTCCAGCTGGCTGCGTGATACTCTGCTGTATGAACGTACCATAGTTTAGTTCACCAGTCCTCTACTGATGGACTTTGATGTGATTTCCAACCTTTTACAATGGCAAACAATTCTGCAATGAATAACCATGTACAAGATGTCACAAGTATCAGTTGATTATTTCTTTATTATGAAACAACCAAGATAACTAAGCCCAGAAAATAAGGTAACAGGAGAAGGTCA